ATGCTCAGGTGTGAATGCTAAGATGGATTATTGCATGAGAGCTTTCTTGTTTCACGCGGCCAAACACCTTCCGGATCATTAGAAATGCTTTTAACTCTTGGCAGACCCGTACTGCCATTTTTACTGACCCATAAATCTTTGAGTTGAATTTTTTTGCAAGAGGGTCCCCACTTTGGTGAGGTAATATTGGATAGCTGGATTTTGTGAACCATTCATCATTACCGAGAACTTATGCCTATTTACGGGCAGTAGCCATAGTTAGAGCTTGTTTAATCTTTTCTCTGGTGACCTGAATGCTTATCCAAGACATCGACTTAGGTCCGAAAGTCTTCTCTCCTTTGTGATCCAGAATTTTATCGGACACCACTCGGCTGAACTTGAATCCTTCGCTTTTACTTAGATTTTATCACATCTTCGGGTTACCCTATAGTACTCTGATGGACCTGCTTCATAAAACGTTGCGCGGAAAAATTTCTTCCCCCTTTTCAGATCCGCTGCTGCGTTGTATCACCCAGCTTCAAAATGTATGAACAACTTTTCAATCTTGGGATTCAGCCCGCTGGGAAGTAAGGATAAGTAAAATGGTTAACCCCCAAATAGGAGTTTCAGATTTTTTGGAATCTAGGTTTATTCGAGAAGGGTGGCAAGTTTGATTTGCTGTGATGAATTTACTTGTGTACAGAGTTACTAAATTGGGATATGCAAAGCCTTATGGTGACATGCGCTATCCGTGATAGAGACACTCGCCGGCGACCGCAGCCCCATATGATCGTTCGACGTCCACATTTTGCCTAATGATGTACAAACTGTGAAGATATTCCGATGAACACTGTTTCTAACGCAGTTTACTTGGATGACGACTGAGGGTTTATCCTCAATATGCTTGTTTTTCCCCCTAATAATTACGATGCAGCAAAAGATTAATAAATATACTTGCACTTAATAGTGTACATTATTTAATACATGAAAGTGATGGAGTATTCGGTTCAATTTTATAGTGAACTTTGTCGTTCAAAGAGCAAGTGAAGCGTGAACCAAAAAGCCGAAAGCAATGGACAGCTGTTTCGACCTGGTTGGGTTTCAGCAACAGTGCGAACCCGTAGACCTAACTAGGAATGGATCCTGGTACCACACGGGAATAACTGAAATATCCTACCCAGTCTACCACCAAGCAGCCAATCAGGCCATTTTTCATTTTTCCTACCTACCATATAGCGCAACCCATCCTTTCGAGCTTCATAGGGGCAGAACACGTCGTTCATCTGAGTCATACTCCTGGAGGCAGGTACTGGAAAAACGCCCCCTCAGCCCGCTTGACGCTATCAGTGTAAATCCTTGTCGAATCACTTAGTATTTTGTGATGGTATAAAATGAGATTTATGTTGGAACTACTTGCAAATAGATAGTAGTGTGGTTGAATTATCTAAATATACATCATTGCAACTATGTGGTCTTTGTGAGCAATCGGTGACCTGACCAGTGTTTACGAAGTCCCTAATCTCATTTGTGCTCTAAGCAAGGACTCAAATTATGGTAACAAGTAGCCCTGATTCGCCAGAGGAATACAGGTCTAATCGAAACTGAGGCAACGAGTCCCTGTGAAACACTTGTCGGTTCGTACAGGAAACAGCATTTATACTGAAGCAATATTTTTTTCAAAATAATAATAAACAAGCCTTAGTGAGTCTTTACAGACGTCAGTTTTGTGATTCTTTTATACTCAGCAGGTGGAATGGTTCAAAATGTAGCGTCTACTCCTATTTCGTTATTAGTGGTAGGCCTAGACCATGATGAGTTAAGAGGTAACTAAAGAGAATGAAACAGTTTTAATTTACAACAAACTAACATTACTAATAATTGAGATGTGAGGTTTATGTACACTAACAGTCGATTGGTCTGCTTTTTCGAGTCTCTTCGGCATGGGATCCACCAACTTTTTTATGAAGTCATTTTCTATTCTGTGCTTCATTACGTGTTGTTGCTAATAAAGAAAATATTTTAGTACATCACAATCGGCCAGTACTGTACCTGTTTCATCTCATTAGATTAGCTGGCTTCTCGAAACCATGTATATACATATATATCGTGGAACTGGAAGCGTTCGCATCGACTTGCACATATATTTATCTGAAAGTTTTCTCAGGCGGCTCTATGCTGAAATCGCCTCACATGTAAACAAACATTAAGTCCATCAGTTCGCTGTTTAGTGCATACATTAGAAAGGGGGGATTCTATCGATTCCCCCACATTCCCTCTCATTATTGCAAAGGCTCTGGAGTAACTATGATAATAAGTGGTTAAAATTCAAAGGCTGAAAGGATGTTGTGAAGTCTCACAAAAATATAGGCACACAAACTGATTCACTGTACTGAAACGAAACGAGTGGTTTGCCTCACACCAACTTGCGTAGTCCCGATTACAAATCAGGAGGTTACTTTAAGTATTTTCCGTGATCCCTTTACATTATGGACCAAGAATTTTTAATTAATGGTGGAAATCAGAAGTTTAATATTTGTATTTTTAACTGACTTAGTTATACGAAGTGAATTTTATGCTCCACTGATACACGAGGATGCTGTGAAAGCCTCGGAGGGGGAGGATAGAAAATGTTCTATGTGGAGCAAACGGATTTGATAATAGATGTGGCACAAAAGGCAATAACCTACACTTTATGTTTAAATGAAAATGCTTGACACGCAGTGGGGGATTTCGCTTGTCTTGAACTTTTCACGGAATCTTCAATGTCATCATTTTTAAAAGAAAATATTTGCCAATACGTAGCTCATAAGCTATCATGCACTTGCATGAAGGAACTGCACGAGATGATTATAGGGTTCTGCGTTCTATTTATTTCGTGCACCAGTACTGAACCTCGATCTGAACGTGAGTGTGCTTCGGCTTGAGTGCGCGCCCATTCATAAAACTTAAACTAGCTGTACTTGAATATGGTATGATGGAGATTTTTTAATCAAACAATTATTTAAGGAAGGCGACTGAAGTTAAAGCATTCATCCCTGAATTCATCTCAATTATTTGATAGTCTTAACCTTTGTTTTTCGATGTTTTTCTGATAATCTGAAAATCGCGAGTAATTATGAGTGATTAAAGAAGTTATTAGTTTTCCATACCAAGGACAATTTTCTGGTTCAGGGTTTTCCTTCTAACCTTGGAATCCGTGTTGAGAAGGCAGTTCATTCAGTGACTGGATAGATACATGATACATTATTCTCTTTGATTCTTTTGGTGGGTGGGGTACTGGCATGCATCAAGTATACCAATTTTTGTCAGACAAATATTCATGTTGGTTGGAAGAAACCTAGATGTGTTTGGTTGATGTCTGTCAATTACTAGGTAGGTAAATCGTCCCTTAAGCTAAAAACAGCTGTCCCCCTTTTGCATAAATCTACACCTTGAGAATAAAAAATATTGCAAATAAAATCATTTTAATTGCTTTTGACGGAACAATGAAAGCTTAGTTAATATTTCTAAGGCATGAACATTCTCATTACGTTATTTTCTAGTGGATACTGTCCTCTAATATGTTGCCACCATTGAAATTAAATCCCTTAGTGATGACTCAATACAGCNATTTTGATCGTTACACATTCCGTTACATTGTTTGTCTACACCCCGATCTGCATAGTAACTAACTTCTGGTCCAAGTGAAACCTGTACTGTGGTTATATTCAATCTCCAAACGAGTGCTTTGTTTTTCTATTCAAAAACCGTCTTTCTGTATGTTCGGGTAGTCAGTAATGGAAAATCGATTGGAGCAAAATGAGCAAACTGTAGAGACTGTGTTGGTGAAAATCCTTTGTTCATGTGTTTTCTGGAGGCGAAATTTACGAGTGAATACATTTTTTCCAGGTGGACGAGTGCGTGATTGGTGTGGAATAGAGGGTGTTGGGTGTTTGTGAGAGGG